ATTTGGCTGGATGGTGTTGTGTGGCAATTCTATAACTCTAAAACATATAAACATTGGTATTCTTGAAAATCAATGTCTTGTCAATTAAGAAGAAAAAGCTGGTCAATACCCACTTCTCATCTTACCAATGGGATGGAGAAGGGAAAATTTGAATAATTTGGAAAACTATACATTTACCTGTTGATCCCTCAGATTAAATTCAATCATACAACAGTAAGGTAAGGTAAGGTAAAGGTACAACAGTAAATTAATAATAAAAGCAGCGATTACTTTCCTTTGCTCTAACACACAAGATTCAATGTAGAGTTGTTGAATTAAGTTAACTCTAATGACTTGCATTCATATATTGATTTGCAGTTTACAAAGGATTTTAATTCTTCGTTTAAATGGCAAGACATTGAGTTACCATCATACGTTCTTCTCTTTCAATCTACAGACAAGCAAACTTTGAAATAATTTTGCTTAGGGAGGCTTTTTTCTGTCTTGATGATGAATTTTTCATCAAAGTCTCATTCTACCTCCTCTACTCCTTTTTCCTAGGATCACCTCCCAGGTAAGCTGCTTGAATTCAAACCTTGTCTCAGGCCCCACTTCTGGGAAAGTCCATACATAGGCATATCCCAAGTACATTTCATCAGAAGCACACAACTCATAAGATTAACTCATCAAATCTAAGCTGTTCTAGATGATTTATCCATAAGGGGTGAAGATGCCTGCTAATCCTTTGTTCAATAACTTTCCAGTTTATCACTATCCACTGATTTCATTGCTTTCCTGGGCAGGTTGATTCACTATTCTCATTCTGTTAATTCTAACTAGAAAATATTTTATTAAAATAAAAAGAATAAATTTGGTTAGTAGCATCCAAGCTCTCAACTATACATAAAAATGGTGGTGGGAAGGTGTAATGGTGGTGGTATTGGTGTTGGATATTGACTGTAATAAATTTTTGTGAACAACTTTATAAAATTAAATTAAATTTAAAAATTATTAAAAAAATCAGTTCAAGGGAATGGCAGAGAGATAGTAGATCAGGTAGGGCACTTGTCTTGCATGCAATAATCTGGGTTTGGTTCCCTGAGCACTGCCAAGAATAATCTCTGAGCACAAAATCAGGTGTAAGCCCTGTTTAAAGCTTGGTTTGCTCCAAAAACAGACAAGCGAAAATTTTGTTCAGGTTAAGGTTCCTTGTTGAGGAGTTGAGTTAAGGACTTTAGACAATCAGTTTTCCTATATCAATGATAACAGAAACTATTCACAGTCATGTGTAACTATATAATATTACTTTGTAAGTTCTGATGTTATATCAATGTTGAAGACTCTGTTCTTCCTCTGAATGGAGGGTGTCAAAATGTGCAATACTATATAGAATTCAAATTTTCTGTTCAATTCTTTTATACCATCTTGTTTAAGTTCAAGTTGATGTTGTCATCTAAACATCTTTGCCAAGTGGTCATGAACCCTTTTCTTGAATGCTTTCAGATATAGATAACCCATTTCTTTTGGGGAGAGTTAACTTATTTTATTTATTATTTTAAAACTTAGATATTTTGCCCCTAGGAATTTTGTTGGGAGAAATTAATGAGTATGTTAGATGCTTCATTTCTCATGGATAATTTTAAACATTTGAAAACATTTAATGTGCTTTTTGTCTCTCTGACCTCCGTTGGTTCTTTTACCTGTTCCTAATAGGTTATTGTTGGGAGTTCCCCTACAATTCCTGTCATTATGTATTACTCTTCCTCTTAGAATGGAAAACAATCTAGTTGTTCAATAATTGAGAATTGGGAAGTTTAAATAAAACATAGTTTAAGGTAAAACTATATAGCCCTTATTTAGAATTTAATAAGTAATATAAATTTTTTACAATGTGGGCTGGAGTGATAGATAATATACTGGGTAGGGTGCTTGCCTTGCATGCAGTCAACCTGGGTTTGGTCCTAGCACCACATATGGTCCCCTGAGCCCCACCAGGAAAGAGCCCTGAGCACAAAACAAGGTATAAGCTCGGAGCACTGCTCGTATGTCCAGAAAACAAAAACAAAAAAGAAAAAAAATTCCACAGACGCGCCTCTTTCTTTCTCTTTATTCTTTTTTCTCACCTTTCTTTCTCACCCTTCCTTCCTTCCTTCCTTCCTTCCTTCCTTCCTTCCTTCCTTCCTCCCTTCCTTCCTTCCTTCTTCCCTTCCTCCCTCCTTCTCTCCCTTCCTCCCTCCCTCCCTCCCTTTTTCCCTCCCTCCCTTTGCCCTCCCTCCCTCTCTCCCTTCCTTCCTTCCTTCCTTCCTTTCTTTCTTTCTTTCTTTCTTTCTTTCTTTCTTTCTTTCTCTCTCTCTCTTTCTTTCTTTCTCTTTCTTTCTCTCTTTCTTTCTCTCTCTCTCTTTCTTTCTTTCTTTCTTTCTCTCTTTCTTTCTTTCTTTCTTTCTTTCTTTCTTTCTCTCTTTCTTTCTTTCTCTCTTTCTTTCTCTTTCTTTCTCTCTTTCTTTCTCTCTTTCTTTCTTTCTTTCTTTCTTTCTTTCTTTCTTTCTTTCTTTCTTTCTTTCTTTCTTTCTTTCTGTGCTTCAACCCTTTTGATCTCCCACAGAGTTTTTCAGGTATAGTTGATAATACGTATTTGAGAGGAGCTGGCACCTCTCAGTCTGGATGTTTCAGTTTTCAAGTTGATGAGGATTTTGGGAAGACACATCAAACTGTCATTAGCATTGTACTTGCTGTTCATCATCTGGCGGTGCTCAGGTGCTCATCCTGACTGTGCTCAGGGGTTGCTCCCTCAGTGCTCAGGGGACCATGGCTAGGATGGAACCAGAGCCTCTAACATACTAAGTGTGTGCTCAGCACATTGAATTCTCTCTCCAGTCACACAAGTTCTTTTTAATTTGGTAATGGGCTCACAGAAATATCTGGGCTACGAGGAGACAAGGAGGACATTTGGGATTCTCTCTGCGCATGCTAGGAGGCTGTCAGCTGTCCGGCCTTTTCAGCCATTCCAACTTGAATCTGACAAGGTGCACAGCAGAGCAACACTGCTTGTGAAAGCAAGCAGATCCCTGTTTGAATGCCTCTGGGCCCTGATCCTGGAGATGGCAGGAAGCTTGTGCAACTGCAGTTCAGTCCGGGAGGATGCGTGTGTGCTCAGAGGGAGCCCCCTGGAGCTGAGTCTGCAGCCTGTGAGGACTGTTATCTCAATCTGTCTTTCTAACTAATGTCCCCGGCCCCCCCCCCCCCCCCCCCCCCCCGAAACCTAGGAGGAAATAGAACACTTGCAAGTCTTAACTGCTCCTGTGGAAAATTTAGGGACCTCCAGATACTGGAGAGGCGGAGAAAGAAAAGAATAAAGGAGATGAGTAAGGCTCTGCATGACACAGGCCCTGAAAGGGAAGGTCCAGCTAAGGCTCCAGGTGTGCATGCAATAAGGGAGAGACATCAGGGAGAGGTGAGGAAACTGTTTCAGGAGTCTCTGCAGGTAGAATCTACACCCTGCTTGGTTCTACACCAAGCAGTTCTTGGCGCCCTGCTCCCACCACATCAGCTGTGACTTCGTATCTCTGAAACAGAGCTTCCATGTCAATTCTTCTTCTGCCATTTATTTCTGAGATGTGTTGTCTGTGCTAACAATCAATTTAACAATTTTATGATTAATAAAAAAGAAAATGCTCAGATCAATGTGTATTCTAGATTTTTCAGACTCATACCGTAAGAAGACACCAACCACACTGGTGCTCTGTTTCCCTGTGTACTAAACATCTGAAGAAACTTCATTTTTCTTTTTCCAAGGGTATAGACACCTTTGAAGATGAATGACCCAGAATGTTGGCCTCAAACACTTCTGTTTGTTAAATAATTTTTCCTCTGTCTAAATTAATGTTCAACTGCTATGGAAACACTTAAAAATACTGAGCTCTGGTTATGAGAGAAGTTGCACTTTATAATAGTTTGGAAAATGTTAGTGAACATGATGATGTTTGAATAGAGCACTTCAGAAGTTAAAGTTAAGTGATCACTTGCTTTTAAAAGGTTTGCACATTTTGTTCTTTTTAATTTTGTGGCAGTGTTATGAGGGGATACTGTTCCCTGGAACAAAACTGGGCCTTCTACAAGTAAAGAAGTACTTACTCCATTAGGTTACTCTCCTGTCAAATTTTAAGCTTTAGCATAAAAAGTATTGCTAACCGTTTTTTGTTTGTTTGTTTGTTTTTGGGCCACATCCAGTGATCCTCAAGGGTTAGTCCTGGCTCTGCACTCCAGAATTGCTCTTGGAAGTGCTCAGAGGACCAGATGGGATTCAGAGGATTGAACCTGGCCACATGCAAGACAAGTGTCTTACCCTCTGTACTATTGACCTAACAGAGTCACTAATGGGGCGAAAGTTAACGCATGTGTTTCTAGGCAAGCAGGAATTATCATGATTCTGTTAATATTTCTAATTTATCAAGGGATACTGAATGCTCTTGGTATTATTTCAGGGGAAAGTCAATGAAGAGTGATAAGTTAAAAAATAATTTTTAAAAGGCAAGGTTCTTGCATTCATAAAGCTACTATTGCAATTTGTATTGCTACATATTTTGGGTTTTTGCCTTCAGGCTGATCCAACAACAATAACAAAAAAACACAAATGTTTTCTTTCTGCTCTTTAAACTGATATTTTTGGCCAGAGCTGATTTGAAGTCTTGCCAAGTTTCTCTTTTATTTTCCTCTCCCTGTACCCATTTCTTGGCACCGTCTTTTCAGACTGTAACTTCTTCCTTTGTCACTGACCTTTGCCCAGCCCAGATCCCATACCTTGTTTCTTTGCTATGGCCAGAGATGAAGCTCTAATAAGATGGAAGTGTTGTGTGTGTGTGTGTATGTGTGTGTGTGTGTGTGTGTGTGTGTGTGTATGTGCACGTGCGTGCGCATGGGTACCTTCATGCATGTGTGTTAGTGCAAGGACACATGTGATTCACATTATGAGAAGTGCAAGAATATTTAATATGAATTTTCCCAGAGGTTGGGTTTGTACTTACATAATTGGAGGCCAGGTCTGGGTGGAGATAATCAATTCCTGTAAAAAGACAATAGCATGGATTACTCCTTGCCTCAGGAAATGTGCAATGGTTAGCTGAGCTGCCAGGAATGTGCCTTCCTTATGAGGCTTGGACACTTGGACCCTAGGACACTTGGAAAGGAGATGAGTGCCTGCATATATCTGAGGCCCCTGCTTTGCATTTTCATTCCTTTGAGAAGCAGGCTGCCTTCCCGGAGAGGAAAGACAGCTGCCACAAATGAGATTCAGGAGAGAAGAGAAACCAATTAGAGCGTGTGGCCCCAGGATAACATTTCTGACATAAATGACACCTCTAAGGGGGCTTAGTGACTGTGAGATGGATGGCTCATCAGAGCAGTGATCTAGGAGAGATTTGTGGGAATCCTGACATTTCTAAAGCATCCACTGGCATTTCTTCTGAAATGAAACTGGCTCTGGGAAGGAAAAGTGATTATTATTTAACAGGGCACAGACAGCCAAGGATTAGGAGTGCATTCTCTGGCTTGGAAATAATAAGAAGGGCACAGCTCGGCGAGAAAAGCCATTAGGCAGAAGAAAATGGTTTTCTGAGAGGTGTCCCGGTTGGGAGCTGATGCTTGCCTCTCCAGAAAGTGGCTTTCCAGAAAGCCTGAGACCTCAAGTCCCCCAGAGGGAGTCCTGTGATTTTTCCTGGACCTGGGCCCATCTTGTTACCCAGTGGTTGTTAAATTATGGTCTTTGAGCATTGCTGGGTTCCATCAGACATGCATACTTTGGAGAGGTCTGCAGAACTTGAAGGGAAAATTGAAGTTCTCATTCAAGTCTACAGAGACATGTGCTTTTAATTTTTTAAATGTTTGCTTATTTTGTCTTTGGACCACACCAGGTGGTGCTTAAACATTGATTCTGGCTCTGCACTCAGGGGTCACTTTGAGGTGCCATGTGGGATGGCAGGGATCAGTCCCCTAAAACATCTGCCAGGTTCTGACCCAAGCTGATATCCCAGTTGCCCCTTCTGACTGTGTGACATCAAGCAAGCTGCTTGGCCTTTCTGTGCTTGCTTTCTTCTCACCAGGTGAGGTGAGAATTGTAGGTATGTTTGACATCATGCATTTAATATTGGATTAACAATATTGAAAAGTCAAAAGTCTTATTTAATTCCCTTATGACTGGCACCTTCATTTCATGCACGGTAAGTCTGAGCTGTAGTGATAGTTTTGTCCTACCAAAAAGAACTTGTATTCGGCTGCACATTTCAAAAAGGAAACTTTCCTCCTTCCCCCCCCCCCACCCCCTCGCTGCTTACATAAGCAATTTTTGAACTGGTCATTTTTAGCTGTGGGTAGAGTTGGGTGTTCCCACCACTACTCCCCACTCCTAGGTGTTGGAACAGGATGCCCGATTACATGGTGAGAGGAGGCTGAACATCTGTTTTTATTCTTGTTGTGTGGGAGGCTACTCTTGTCCCAAATCATCTTGCTGTTCAGCAGTGGATTTGAAGAATGTCTTGGGAGTCATCCTTTTCTTCTGTTATCATAGTGAATAGGCACCTGGCAAATGAAAGATAGCTGCAAGTCCTTTGTCTCATTCCACACCAGGAGGAAGAATCTATTAACCTACCTCAAGAATCTGAACTGCCTCTGTGATTGTTTATATGACAGAAGTGGCAGAATGATGTTTTCCCATGCAGTCCAGACTTTAAGAGGGCTGGACGCATGTTTCTTATATCTTCGGGTAGGGAAGAGAGAGAGGCTCTGTGAGCGCACCACGGGGAGGGAAGCTGTGCTCTTTTAGCGCATCAGGCAAGCCTTATTTAGTTGACACATGTCTCTGCTGCTTTCTGCCCCAATCATGGGAAAGAATCTGGAGAGAAAGTACAGAGCACAAAGCCCCTACACCGCCTAACGACCCCACATCGACAAGTGTCACCCGCAGAGATATAATGAGATTCCTGGTGTCACAAGTGTATGGTCCTCAGTCTAGGAAAAGCAGTTTTATGCAAACAGCACAACCAAATGGACAAACACTGAAGCCAAGTGTGGTCCAACAGCAAGCACAAAAGAAAGTATACATATCCTTCATATCACTAAAACAACAATTTTTTTTCAGAGATCCTGGGCATAGAAAAATAAACATTAGGGGGCTGGAGAGATAGTACAGAGGTTAAGTCAATCTCCTTGCACACAACCAAACTCGGTTAGATCTCAGGCACTGCATATGGTCTCTCAAGCACTTTCAGGAACAATCCTTGGGCACAAATCCAGGAGTAAACCTTGAGAACAGAAAGCTGTGATCTAACACCTCAGAGTCCCTCATCTTCCACAATCAAAGCTACATGTGTAAGCTAGAAAGATAGTACAATGGTTAAGGCACTTGCCTTGTATTTGACCAACAGGGTTCAATCTCTGGAAGCCCATATACTTACTTGATCCCCAGCAGGAGCGACCCTTTAATGCAGAGCCAGGAATAAGCCCTGAGCAAACATCTGATACTAATCACAGGAGAGAGCCTGAGAAAGAGACTCACAACAACACTGTCCAGTGGAGCTGGTCAACCCACAGAAAGATAAGAGAGTGGTGGCTTAAAGTGACTCAATTTAGAGATGATCTGTTATGCAGCTGTAGACATCCCCTAAAATCAAGAAGTTTGTAAATAAATGGTGTAAGTATATGAAGGTGAGGTGGAGGGTTCTCTTTTCTGGGATCCCAAAGGTCACACTACACAAGCAAAGAAACAATATCCAGTAAGAGTATTTCTGCTGAGACTCTCTCTCTCTCTCCCTCCCTCTTTCTCCCCCTCCCATATATGCATGCACGTGTCTGTGTGTGTGTGTGTATGTGTGTGTGTGTGTGTGTGTGTGTGTGTGTGTGTGTGTGTGTGTACTACACCAAGCAGTGATCAGAGTTTATTCCTGTCTCTGCATTCAGGGATTACTACTGGTGGGCTCAGGGAACTGTGTGGGCTGCCAGGGATCAAACCCCTGTTGGCTGCATCCTTACCCACTGTACTATCATACTAGCTCCAAAAACTTTCTAAAGTATTTGAATTCCCAGCCAGAAATTGTGAAACTCTTCAGGTGTCATCCTCTCTTTTGCTGTCTTCAGAAGAGAAGATTAACTAAAAAGGTTGCAGCTAAAGAATCCTGAAATGGCATACAAGAACTGAGGATTTTTTTTTCTCTCCAAGAGTAATGTGCCTGGCTATGTTCCCATAGTGACACTAATTTTACTGTGCCTCACATAATCCCCCCAGTGAAAATAGACCTGACAATATATTCTAGGCAGATTTATTCCAAACCTAGATGTCTCTCTCCTAGGTGAACTGGCCTCAAAACTTTGACTTCAAAAATCAAAGCATTAGGAAGGAAGAAATAATTATAAATTCCCACTATGGAGGCATATATACACTCTAGGGCAGAGCTTCTTTTTGTTCATGAAAGCTCTTGGCCGTATTGTCAAAGCTTTCACATACACTTCAAATGTCTTACACATCAGAGGCCGCTGGAGCATTGTTTTTATGTTGATATTTAATAAGCCCACACAAAAACAGCATTGATTTTAACAGCCCTCTTTTCTTCCCCAGCAATTCTGCTTCAAAGGTTTGCTTTGAGAACATAGTGTTCCTAGAGGATACTCAAAAAGGAAAGTCTCCATTGTTTCATCTCTATACAGGCTTTGTATAGAATTGGCCCCGTCCTGCCCAGTGGAGCTTTTACTGGAGGACCCAGATGGCCGATGAAGGCAATGGAACATCCCCAATGTGATGCTACAGGACGCTTGCCAGGATCTTGTTAGAGCCAAGGACATTTGTTGTTAGAAAAGTCTATTGGTTTTCGTATTGCAAACTGTATTGAAAATACAGCAGAGCTGTATTGTCTATATAGCATAATATAGGGGGTAGAATAATATAGAGGGAGTGAGGGGCATGTCAAAGAAAATGTTATCAAATCCTATTTTATAAGGGTTTATTCTAAAAGGACCAATAATGTCAAAATTTCTCCAAACTCCAGTTCTGCAACTAAAAGCTATTTTATAGATGGAGAGTCATACTGTCTAATAGACCTTATTGTGATAATAAAAATAGAATAGAATTTATTCTCTGTAGCTGATAGCCTCTTATGTCTATTGAGAATGTGAAAACATGAAGATAGTATAATTAAGAAATTGAATTTGAACTGTATTTAGTTTTAAATGGAATTTTAATGCCAGTGTCCACATATGGCTTGTGGATATGTCAATGGACAGTACGGATGTAGAGAAATGGACAGTAAACAAAAGAGGTTTGGCATATGATGTAAAGTAAGGCATAAGCAATGATGCAATAAAAAATTACAGTTGAGAGATGGGCAAGTTTCATTTGTTCATTTTTAAACTTCTTTAAAAAATGATGAATTCAAAGAAGTGATAAGGTTGGGGTACTGGTCTGGGAGGAAAGTGAAGATTTTGTCAAAGCAGAGAGTTATTCCTTTTCTGAAAAACCTCTTCTAAACAATGATTTTTTTTTATTCTGAAGGCATGCAATGGCACAATTACTCCGAAGTTATGTAAAGCTTTAAGATACTCACCATCATCCATAATTCCAATGGTAACACCCTTTCCGGTGTAGCCCAGCTCCCAGGCTTCTGCCACGTTCAAATCTAGGCCTGGTGTACCATCAGCTTGCCCTGTATTGATCTGGTCACAGGAATTCCAAAGTGGAATTTCATTAGTTTGGTGTAGTAGAACACTGAGTAAATTTTTCCTTTATTCTTTATAACCATAGATTCTAGGGCTAGCACAGAGACAACATCTGCATGAAACAGTAACTTTGAGTGTTTAACCCACCCACATCTATTATTAGCCTTCCTCCTCCACTTCTTGATGCAAACAATTGATATTTTCTGTTTTATGTCAATATGCAAACAATTTCAACCCCCTCACACTATGACTGGCTTGCTATATTTAAGCTTCGTAGAGTTTCCGTTGTATGAAATTTTCCTCAATGTAGGATAAAATGCTTGTTTTTGTAGCTCTTTATACCTCAAATTTAAATGTCTCACACTGTTTTGAATTATACTGGAGCGATAACACAGCAGTAGGGCGTTTGCCTTGCACGCAGCCAACATGGCCGACACGAATGTAAGTTTTCTCTTTATCAGGAGAAATCGCTACTCTTTGTCACATATGTTCATTGTGTAGGTTTTCCTAAAGATGTATTCTTTGAAAACAGTGAAGTCATGCATCCCACCTTCTTGTTATTCTTCTTTATATTACAGATAAATGAGATAATTTGATATTTGTCTTTATTCTGATTCCTCCAGTTTTATCCAAGTTGCAGCAAATTGCATCATTTCATCATTCTTTGCACCTACATAGTATTCCATTGTGCACATGTACCATATTTTCATAATCCACTCAACTGTTGTTGGACACCAAGGTTGATTTGTTATCCTAGCTATTGCACTCATTGCTTTGGTGAACTGCACACTTAAGACTCAACTACAATAACAATATAATTGCAATATTTTAATATTTAGCAAAAATAAGCAAAATAGTCAAGTCAGAGTTTGTACTGGCAGAAGCTCATAGTGATCTATTTGCATTGGTAAAACACTGGGTAAATTTAATTAGTGTTCTTTGTGAAAAAGACACATCTCAGGCACAGATTAAGATTACTCCCCTCCACATCTCTTGGGATGGGAGATATGTGCTGAAAGTTGATAAAGGATCAAACATGATGGCCTTTCAGTATCTGTATTGTAAACCATAATTCCCCAAAGTAGAGCAAGAGTAACAAGGAAAATGCTTGCCATAGAGGCCAGGGGTGTGGTGGGGTAGGGGTGATGGGAGGAATACTGGGGACATTAGTATTGGGAAAGGAACACTGGTGGAGGGATTGGTGTTGATGGGTGTTTGATCATTGTATGACTGAAACTCAATCATGAAACTGTATCTCACGGTGATTCAATTTAAAAAAAAAAGCAAGGAAAAAAAATCCCAACAAAAAGACCACTATGCCCTCCATTTCCTTAGCCTAATATTAGCATAACCACATGATCGGCTTTGACCAGTGAAATGTAATGACACTCTGTCCTCCCGTTGTTCATTGATTTGCTCGAGTGGGCCCAGTAATGTCTCCATTTTGAGACTTGTTGTTACTGTGTTTGGCATATTGAATACGTCATGGGTAGCTTGCCAGGCTCTGCTGTGCGGGCAAGATACTCTCAGTAGCTTGCTGGACTTTCTGAGAGGGGTGGAGGAATTGAACCCGGCTCAGCTGGACTGGCTGCGTGCAAGGCCAATGTCCTACTGCTGTGCTATCGCTCCACTCATGAGCCATATTTCACACCTCGGAAGAACTTTTAAGAGCTAGTGTATGATTTCTCCTTTTTCCTTTCTGTGGTTTTGAAATAGAGTTCAGGATAAAGTTGAGATGGAACTTGGGCACTCTGAACCCTTCAGATTTTTTAAAGCACTGAACAGATTTGTATAGATTTGGAGTCACTGGGGCCCATTTAGACATAATAGCTATCCAAATGAGCGGCTGAAGCAATAGTACAGCAGGTAGGGCATTTGCTTTGCATGAGGCTGACCCGGATTCGATTCCCAGCATCCCATACGGTCCCCTGAGCACCACCAGGAGTAATTCCTGAATGCAAAACCAGGAGTAACCCCTGTGCATAGCTGGGTGTAAACCAAAAAGCCCACGCTCCCAAAAGAAAACTCACCACCAACAGAAAACCTATCCAAATGAATCAAGAGGGACGGTTGGTGAAAATAAAATATTCACTTCACTAGATAGAATAAGTTTCTGTATTAATTAAATTAAATCCCATGGAAATAATTTCCCACCATTATTTTAGGAAGCCCGGTTATTTATTTCTTTTCTTACTTTACTTGCCAAGCTCTATTGCTAATTCCCTATAAAGTCACCTTATTTTTCTTTTATGTCTAAATTTTTACCCTTCCATTAATCTACCCATTGCGGCCCCAGCTTACTCTTCCCATACCTTTGCTTGATTATCCCATGTTTTTGCAAGTTTTTATTCATATCCTGATTTGCCTTTTAGGGTCTGGGAGGATCTGGTCAGCAGTTGGTAGTAACTTTGACCCTAGGAGATCATGACTATTAAGCAGTTCCAGAAGAAAGCATATTAGAGAGTGAAATGCAGGACTGATGATAGAAAATCAATATATAACAGAGGGGACTGAGAGATTTATTGAGTTGGATGCTGACTAACATCCCACAGAATAATAAGGAAACGGAAATATATTTTTCATCTGAAATCTCAAAATGAGAAGCATTAGAAATAACACAAAGACACATACCAGATACCATTGCTTTGTAAAAAGAGGATCGTTCATGTTGATGTCGATCTCATTGATGTCTCTATACCCTCTTTTTCTTCGGTTGAATCCTTCCTGTTGCAAGGCTATCTTTACCTGCAACAACAATAATTATATATCACATGAATATTAACCTTCTTGTCTTGATACTGGAATTATTTTCCATGAATTAAAAATCTGTGTAAAATTTGAACTGCACACACATTCCTCAGGGGCTAATCCTGGCTTTGTGCTTATGGGTGGCTTCCTAGCCATTTAACCCATGCCTGCATATATAAAGCATGTGTGCAGATTGTTAAGCTGTCTCTTTAAACAGCATATGAAGAACTTTGTAGCCGATGTTTCTAACCTCACAGGCATAACTTATAGAAGTAACTTTTTTCAGGACCTGTTGACAGCTGGGGTTAAGGTGCTTGCCTTGCATGCAACAAATCTTGGTTTGATCCCTGGCACCTCTGTCTCGTACTCTGAGCCCCACCATGTATGATCCTTGAGCACGGTTAGGAGTGAGCCCTGAGCACCATCTGGTGTGGCTCTCAAACAAACAAAAAGTAAATAAATAAACATTTCTTGAAAAGTGAAAAAAAAATCTGTGTAAAGTATTTATTTCCCACAGTGGAAGTCATGTTAATTTCATTTACACTCTGACTGTAGGATTATTTTCCAAGAATAGTCATTTCTGCCAATGCTGAATGAACAGTCATTAGGGATAGTTCCTACTGAGTTTTTTTAAAAATGAAAATTAGATGAAGAAATGTATTTTTAAACAAGATAAAGTGGTAGTGAAGGTAGTGGAAGGTCAGTAAGTGAAATAAGACAAAACAATGGAACACTTTTGTTTTGTGTTTTGGGCCATACTCACAGGTGTGCTCATGGGTTACTTCTGACCCTGCACTCAGGAGTTACTCCTGGTAGTGCTCGGGGGACTTTATGGTATGCCTGGGATTGAACCTGGATTGACCGCATGCAAGACAAACAGCCACTGCATTATTTATCCAACAATGGAACATTTCTATTAAGAGAAGGAAACTTATGTGGATTCAGAGAGAATGAGTGAAAAACCATATCGATTTTTTTTGTGGGAGATTTTTATATTTATTGCCAAGACAGGTTATCACATTTGAAAATCAACCAAAACCAAAATACTCATGGAAGACCCTAAAAGGCCTGTTTGAAAACTCAGGAAGTCTTTAGGAAATATTGAGAAAGAAGTGAGGTGCATTTGGTGAGAAACGGGATGGGTGGTATAACTCAGTTTTGGATAGTTGAACGAACCCTAACCCTTGGATGGAAAAAAAATGTAGGAGTCTCCTGGCAATAACTAGACTTTGCAATGCTCAGTAAATTTGTTTTTTACTTTGGGCAATGACTAATTTATCTTCCGATAACTCTAATCAGTCTCTGAACATATACAAATAAACTGTGCCAATTGTGTGCAGCATACTTACAGCACAATATTAATCACCCTTTTTCTCAAATATCCCCATGCATTATTGGCTAATCTCAAATCCACTGGACTTTGTGTTCACTGGGAGTGAGACTGGAGGAGCCTGGATACTGTAAAGAGGCTGCAGCCTCCTTCTGCCTCAGCACTGTCTCAAGGGCATCTTTTTTCCAGTTATTGAATCTTCAGAAGGTGATGCAAGGCAGAAAGAATCCTGAGAAATCATTTATCTGAGATTCAGTCACTGATATTCCTGTAAGAGAACCTTGCTGTAGTTTCACAGCTCAGTGCTGGGGGTCCCCGAAGACCAACGGCCGAGAGTTCCTCATATCTTTCCAACACATTGTCTTTGGCATAAATGATCTGGAATCAATCTCTATGACTTGCAATCAATATGAAATGAGAGGAAAGCAAGAGGATCTAGGTCATTTATGATGGAATGAAGAGAAGAATTAAGAGACTGCAGAGGAAGATGCCTGTTTGCCTTGCCTGCTTCTCTGGAATGAAGGTAACTGTGAGGTTTCCTACTTCCTGGATCTTCATATGAAGAACAAAGTAGCCTGGGTTTCATTTGCCAGTGAAATTCACATTCAACTAAAATCTCTATGCAGGTTTCCCTTCTATTGGAAAGGAGAGTATGCTTCGTTAGTATGATTTGATAAGTTCCTTGGGAGGGTCTGGAAATGCTCAGGAAAAGCCTATGTGCATACAAATAATAATATTTCCAGACCCCCAAGACAACCATCAATTCATATCAAAGGGGGAACATATTATTTCTGCACAGAGGGGTAAGAAAAGGAGCAGTAGGTGTGACATTTATTTGGTGAGTTTTTGTAGGTATTTCAATAAGATATAGTTATTCTGGCATGGTTTAAACATTATTTTTTCTCAATAACTGAAAAAGTGAGATGAACACATACACACATATGGTTTGTTTTTGGTTTTGAACCACACCTGGCTGTGCCAGGGACTTAGTCCAATTTTGCATTCAGGGATAGCCCCTTGTGTGGGCTCAGGGTACCATATGGGGTGCTGAGGCTTGAACATGGGTCAGCAGCATACATGATAACCACCCTACTTCTGTACAATTGCTTTGGCCCCAAGATGAATGTTTTCGAAATTGCAAGACTGTGGTCACAGCACCCAAGTACTGACAGGCTCCTGCACTGCTGGATATTCCCTCATATACCAATAGAATTTTATTTCCCAAGTAACAAATATATGGAAGCAGGTAGAGTCCTTTGAAGAGTAATAAACTATAATTTAAAAAGCCATATTGGATGGGGGAGATAGAGCAAATGGTAGAGTACATTCCTAGTATGTGCAAGGCCTTGAGTTTAATTCCTAGCATCAAATGGCCCCTTTGAACCATCAAATGTAGCACTGATTTCAGCATCCTTTTCACCTCTCCTGGCACTGCTAGGCCTAAACAATTCACCATTCATTCATTCTTGAGTCAGCAAACTATCTTGCCTGCACTGCCAGTTGGAGCATCAACCCTCAGGCATGCATGGCCCTGACATCCTCTTTCCCTAAACACTTCTAAGTGAGACTTTAGAAATCCCTCTATACATATGTAGGTGTCTGATCTTTATCTCTGTCTTCCTATCTGTCTGCTTATCATCTATCTGTCACTCACCCCTTTATATTCTCTGAGAAGTGGATGCCAAGATGACATTAAATTGTTAGAATTTTATTAGGAGAGAAAACACAAGAAACTGTTGAATAAATCTAAGTTCAATTGTCAGCAAAGGTGTGCTAGGCTGTCCCCCTAGTTTAAGGAAGCTTGGGCAAGGCTATTGAAAATCTGAAGATGGCTGTCAGACTCCCTGTCTCTCCCTGGGTCAGTCTTGCTGCAGCATAGCTGCATAGCTGCCTTACTAGGTCACTGGTCAGTGCAGCTGTTACAGAGAGTGAGTCCTGTGGCTGATGTATTTCAGAGTACAGCTCTGTGGACTCTGGGCAGCTACTTTCCTGAAGTCATAATCTCAGAGAAGTCACAGAATATGACTATGCATCACACACAAGTACCTATGCACACCAATAGATTGTATAGTCACTAATTTAAAGTGTTAAAACAGATGCAGTGCTTAACCTGGAAAGAGGCAAAGACATGGAAGCCAATGTTCAAATAAGTATTTTCAATAAATTTTTAATTTTTTTTTGTTTTTTTGGGTCACACCAAGTGATGCACAGGGGTTACTCCTGGCTTTTTCACTCAGGAATTACTCCTGGTGGTGCTCGGGGGATCATATGGGATGCTGGGAATTGAACCCAGATTGACCATGAGCAAGGCAAATGCCCTACCTACTGTGCTATCACTCCAGTCCCAATTTTTAACTTTTTTATTGAATAACAAAATAAGTATTATTTTGATTTTGAAAAGAAGGAACTTTAACTCAGCTTTCATATCACCCTATTTGATTTCCACAGTGAGACATTTAGTGCTCCACCCACTAACAGACTGCCTCGATTGACTCCCCCCTCCAGCCAGAGGTCCTATTGTTTTGGGATCCTTGTCATGAATGACTGCCTTCAGCAAACTCAGCAAACCCCTTTCCTCTGCTCAGATCTTCAGGTGAAAGCTACCACTGTATGCAAGTTCAGAACCCTTGTTTACGGATGTTTCCCCACAGCATCAGAACAAGAAGACTCTCATTTCTTTTTTTTTTTTTTAATTTTTATTAGTGAAATACCATGAGGTACAGTTGTAGACTTACAAATTTTTTGTGCTTGTGTTTCAGTTATACAATGATCGAGTACCCATCTCTCCACTAGTGCTCCTTCTCCACCAACACTAATCCCAGTATCCCTCCCAGGCCCCATTGCCCCAATCCCACAATGCCTCTGTGGCAGGGCATTTCCTTTTGTTCTCTCTCTCCTTTTGGGTTCTGTGGTTTGCAAAAGAGGCATTGAGGGGCAATCATGTTCGCTCTATAGTCTACTTTCAGCATGCATCTCCCATCCTGGGAGGATCCTCCCAACACCCTTTACTTGGTGTTCCTTTCTCTCTGAGCTGCCTTTTCCCCTAGTGTGTGCGGCTGGCCTCCAAGCCATGGAGTAAACCTCCTGGTACTTATCTCTGATATTTTTGGGTGTTAGTCTCCTATTTTGTTACTTTATGTTCCCCAGATGAATGCAGTCTTTCTATGTCTGTCCCTCTTTTTCTGACTCATTTCGCTTAGCATGATACTTTCCATGTATTACCACTTGTATGTAAATTTCATGACTTCATCTTTTCTAACAACTAAATAATAGTACTGGAAGGCCTATTGTGATATCACTCCAAACTCAATTACACCAAATGCATTGGAGTGAAACTGTTTAAATTCATTTCCATAAAATTAATTTTTAATTCCATAAATTACGTTTTAATGGAAACCAGTGATGCTTTGGAAGTTTACTGGACCCTTGGGATAACACCGTGTCTCATGACCCAGGAGTGCTACAGCCTGACTTAGGTGTCTGCAATTTTGTCATGTTTTGTGCTATTAAGAATTAACAATGCTTAAATTTCAGAGGGCCTTCTGAGTTTATCTTCTTGTCCACCCTGATGATCACAGTTACAATTTCAAGGAAGATGAGCAGCTTTAAAGCATATGTTTTTCCTTATTAAAATATTTCTCTTTTATTATTCTACAATAATAATATT